TCATTATAATATGTACCATCAAAAATATCACCTATTTGGTCATCATTCCTATATAATACATAATTAGCTCTGTATCTCTTTTTCAAAAGCAACATCAAACTCCACATTATTTCTATCTATCTTTGTTAACTGATTCTACTTGTCACAATATTACACAAAACACTGTAATTAACTAGATACTTCAAGCCTAGCAACTCAATCTTCAGCCTATTATCCTTGGTGACTTTAATACACAAGACACTACTCTTAGCTTATCACCTAGATTTAAACTTATCAATTTTCTATACTATTCAAATATGTTTGATATTGGTGCCCATTTTAACAACACTCAACATACCTGGTCTAACAATATAAACTCTAGCAGAATTGACTATATCTGAACCAACTCTTTTAATATACAATTCATTCTCTTCTATAGTCTTGACAATAGCAAAACAAGCACCCTTAGTAATCACCTTATACTTTCTACTTCCTGGATATTTTCTAATGCATTTAGCAAACCCCCATAGCTTTATACCAATATTAGTTACTGAATCTTTAATTATAAAGCCACCACTAGCTAGCAATGGCAAGAATTTTCTAAACTTACCTTATAATTAATTACACAAAGCCATATTTCACTTACACCAAATACTTCGAAGAGTATTGGCACCACTTGGCATAAGCTTCAACACATATAATACAAGCTGCAATTAGAACTATTTTTAACAAAATTATATGAAAATGTAGCTACAACTATAAATATACTTCTCTATATACTGCACTCTATCTTTGGCTCAAAAAACTTGGTTACCTTATTAAGACTCTTAATAACAATAACAATAACTACCCCAATCTATACCTCCTGTACATTAACTCACAAATTCTTATTATCAATACCTATTTCAAATATAACCTTTAGCCACCCCATTCACTTGATACTTATGACATCTAATCATAGTTATTGCATATATATACTATTTGAAAACAAATTTACTATGCCTATTACTTTGAACACTCTCTTCATCTTCATCAACAAATCAATTAGGCTTTCAAAAGAAGATGTAATACACTCGTCTCAAAACCTACCCAAGCTATTAATAATATACTTAACTGATACCAACCTCCTATACACTTTACCAATATCAAACTTCCCAACCAGCTTATTACCAACTCTGCTGAAATCAAACAACACATTTAATCACTTTCAAATTGAACTGCAAAATCTGTTAACCAAACCATATTTAATAGCTTTTGGCAACAATAATACCAACTATTTTTTTATATCAACTCTGAATAGTATACATTACTTACTAGCTCTATAACTGAAGATGAAGTCCTTCAAACTATTTTTAAGCTTTCTAATAGCAAGGCTAGTGGCCCTACTGGTATTAGCTATGAAATGATTAAACACCTAGACCAACACTATATCACTACTTTTACTGCACTTTTTAACTGTTGCTTATCCCAAAACGTGGTTAATCTTTAGTATAACTGGGCAATATAGAAATACTATAAAATTATAATATAAATAAATAATCATTTAACCAATTTATACAAATTTGAGACTAGTTAGGGTTAGAGTAAGGGTTATAGTTAGAATAGAGTTAGAGTTTGTATTTTTTTATATTATAATCTTATAATATTTTTATATTGCCAAGTTATTCTAAAGAAGATCCCAAAACACAATACTCAAGCTATAGAAACATTACAGAATATATCTCATTCCCAAAAACTATACTTTTTATAAACACCTCAACCTTACTTGACCAATCAGCCTTATAAACACATGAGAAAAATATATACTAAAATCTTAACAAACAGACTTAATTAAGTCTTCTCTCAATATTCTATCCTTTTACCTTTCAATTATGTTGCCCTACTAGGCAATAGTATATCTATCCCTATCCACATCTTTACCAATTTTCCCTATAAAAAATAATTATATTATATTTGTATTCAAAAATATAGACAATTTGTATAAATAAATATATATGATTTATATACTATTTGTATTAATTAACATGTAATAAATATATAAAAAAGTGTTATTTTGTCTTATACTTTTATTAATAAAAAAAATAATTTTTATACATTAAATATTTAAAAAATATACAACATTTATTTAATTTTTATTTTATATTTATTTAATATTCATTCAATATTTATTTCATATTTATTTAATTTTATATATAATTTATATGTATTTTATATTTTATGTATTTGACAATTAGTTTTGAAAGCATTTAGTATTTATTATCAATAAATATTTAAGCTATTCAATTCTAAATAATATAGCATTAATTTGCAATTTTTTTAATTATTAGTTCTCTTTGTTTTGCAAATAGCTTCTTGATCTCAACACTCTAGATAGTTTGATTGTTTGATTACCTATATAACATATTCGTTATTTATATATTACAAAGACTCAATATAAACCAAAATTAGCTAGCGCAAACCTATAATGCTAATTACAAGTAAAGTTGGTTTTTGTTACTTAAAATCAGCATTATGGGTTGCACTGACTAATTCATAAAGCTGTGTTCTAAATTATACATACTTTTTGATAAACTATCACATCTATTTTTTGAGATTTACTTTTTCATTTTGACTGATTATCTGTTACTTTTCCAGGTGCTATATCATTAACCCCTGAGTATACTGTTCGCAGGTCTTTTTGTGATGATTTCGAATTTGAAACAATCAAAAATTTATTAATAAGTTTTGTTTTAGGCTTTGCCATGTTATCTATGCTTTTCTTAGAATGAACTGTTCGTAATGCAGTTGTTTCTGTAGAGGTAGTGATTTGGGCTGGTATTTATTATTGAATATTAATGGATTCAAATATACTGGCAATTTTAAAATAAATTCAATAATGTAAATTACCTTCAATGCTTTCTATTGTTGTAGATTCAGAACCATGCCTGTAATTTAAATCATTATTGGATAAAGTATCTATAAAGAAATTAGTAGTAAAGATAAATTATCAAATTTCATATTATATAATTAATTATTATATTTATTCATAATACCTAATGCATCCTTTTCTGTAATTCAAATATAATCTTTACTCCTTACAACATCATATTCTTTCTTACCTGTATTTTTTAATATACAAATAGATAAGTAAAAATTATAAAACTTATTTAATAATACTAAATATATATGCTGTTGATTAATTGAACGATGTATCATCATTTTAATTGCCCAATCATTGATACAATTTGGAAAGTCTGGATTATTTGCTTTATACTATTAATATAAAGTTGAAGAGATTAGTAATCAATTAATTATTACTGTATATACATATTTAAAGTAAGAACAATTTGATCTTTTTAACTAATGATCACTTTTTAGTTATACTCAACTTGCAATACTCAGGTGTATTGGAAGTCCAAATTTGGGCTATAAATTCACGTATCGCACTTTAAAAAAAATAATTAATATTTTTAAATATCAAAAATTAAACAATATAAAACCTTGTACAAGACAAATGAGTCAATAGTACTCTGTACGATGTATAAACTTTATCTTCAATTGATAATATTTCTAACAATTTATACTATTTTAAGTTTGGCAGTTTGGTGATTGGTGCTTTTTTTGATGATTATTTCTAAAAAAAATATATATGTGTTTATATATATATATATATATATATATAAATATTTATATCACTAAGAAAAAAAAACAATTATAAGTGGCATCTTATTGGTTTTACTTCCAGAATTGTGTGTTGTAAGAACACCCTTATATTTTTTTTTATACTTGTATTTTCTTGAAGACTGCTTATCACTTGAATCATCCGTTTTAGAGCTATCATTAGAGTCACTGGAATCAATAACTTTTTCATATATTTTTTTATAGCTTTTTCACTTTTTTAATAGTAGTAATTGCCTATCATGTTCACTATCAGAGTCATCAGTATCACTAAAGGTTTTAGCTAACTTCTTGTAATGCTTATTTGATAGCTCATTATGTTCACTATCAGTTTCATTAAAATTAATAGGAATTGTCTTATAATGTTTATTTGATGGCTCATCATGTTCACTATCAGAATCATTAAAATTACTAAGAATCGTAATTGACAGCTTATTGGCATTTACCAAAATATTTGTTGAAATGTGAATATTATTAAAGCTTTGTGTAATGTTAGATCGTTGAGACTGCTAGAGCCTTTCATTTTCAGCTTTAAGAGATTCTAACTGAACTTTTAAGTTAGTAATTTCATAATCATTAAGTGCTAGAAGTTTCATGAACATTGGTAAGATGTTGGTTGTCAAGGGTAAAAGATTCTTCATTATTTGAAGGTTTGCTTTTATTCTTTCATTTAGTTGGTAGCATTTTTTTTTAATAAAAAAAAAAGTAATATTCAAAAAGAAGATTAAGTGTAAATTTTAAAACAATTATTTTTTTGTTTTTATATATACTTGTCAGACTGCAAATAAGATCTTGAGTTTAAATTAAGTAGATATAATAAATTTTTTTGCTTTAAATATTTTTACAAATTTTACCAAAATTTGTAATAAAATTATTTTGAACATTGATACAAAAAGAAGCCTTTATTATGGAACTTAGCAATAGAGAAAGTGATACTTCTTTAATAGAACTTGATCTAACACCTATTAGTAGTCAAGAAAATGAAATATATTGCAAATGTTTCTTGTGCACTGAAGAAGGTCATAGTGGTGCTTGGGTTAGTAAAAGTACATGAGTCAGACATATGAAAGCTCAATGCACCTACCAGAAACCCATAGTAATATATTCAGAATCATCAAATTTAGAGTTATCAAGCGATGAGAATAATGGTCAAGTTAATAATTAATTAAGTTTCTTTTATATTATTATTAAAGATTGTGACTTGCAAGTTAATTGAATTCTTTCATAGCAAAAAATCATACTTAGAGTATATAAAATATATATACTCTAAATATAGTTTCGTTGTGAAAAAACCTAATTGTTAAAATCTTTAATAAGTATGTATTTAGTACATATGGTATTATTAATTAATATTTAATATTAATTTTGTATAACACTAATAATGGTTGTAGTGAAACAAATCTTGCTCTGAATATAATTTCTCTGGCTCCAATATTAATACGGATACCTCATTTGGAATTCAAGACTCATATTCACCAAAAATTAATATGGAAACACAAAGCTTATTTGAAATCTCAAAAGATAGTGAAATTTTACAAGAAAGCAGCAATTCAGAGTACTTAGTATGGGAAGACTTTTCAGATTGTAATAGGGCCTTGAATAATTTTCTTGGCTCTGAAGATTTTAATGATTATTCAGATCACTCTATATGGGAAGATTTTTTTAACTATAACAGATCTTTGAATGATTTTCTTAGTTCTGAAAGCTCTGAAGACGATTATTCAGATTATTCTCAAAATGGTATAGTTTTTTATTTTATTATTTATTTTTTTTTATATTTATTTTTTATTTTTATTTATTTTTATTATTTTTTATTTATTATTTTTTTTAAAAATTATAACTTATTTATAATATTAGATATAGAATTAGATATATCAGAGGAAATGGCCATTGCATTAAGGATATTTAAAGTAAAAGTTCAATGTAATCTAACCAATAAAGCTTTTTAACAAACTATGATTGTGGTTAATACTAAGCTAGTTAATTTATATATTGTTAAAAAAAATATTAAAATTGATTATAGATATTGAATCTCAATAGATAAATATGTGTTTTACTTTATGCTATGCATATACTGGAAACTATCAAAAATTATTGAAGTGTCTAGTTTATAAGTCAGATTGGTATTATTATCAAAAAAAAACAAAAAAGCCATGTTGGCAGTTTGCATATTTTTCACTTGCATAGTGGCTTACTATTCAATATAGAGATTTTGATCATGCCGCAGAATTAAGATACAGAGCTAATTATGTATTATATAGGAATGATGACCAAATAGGTGATATTTTTGATGGTACATATTATAATGA